TTAGTATGGTTGAAATATTACCTTCACACTCCTTTTGTGATCTTACCCTAGACCCTACCAAGCACCCTCTAATTAATTCTCTATGTTTATTTTTTAAAATCTTCTAATTTTTAGTCCCTCCGTCCTATTTATTTTACAATTTGACTTTTGCATAGTTTTTAATGGCCAACATTTTGTGGTTGAGATTTTCTTCAGAAGAGATATAAACATCAACCCTTAAATGGAAAGCAGAGATAATCTTTGGAAGGAGGAAAAGGAAATAATGAAGAAAAAAAAGGATAGAGGGATGATTGTACGGAGTACTAAACACTTAATTAAATTTCCTAATTTTTTTGAAATTTTGCTGCTATGTTTTTGTGTGAAGTAGTAGTCAGATTAAGCTGATGATGATAATGATCTTTTCTTACGTTAATTGCTACCACCTATTCTTATTATTATTACTCCCTCCGTCCAAGTTGAAACTTCCCGTTTGGACTTGGTGCGGTTTTTAATTTAAGTAAAAAATAGTTGACTTTCCCATTTTACCCTTCTCCCACCCCACCCTTTCCTTTTCTGTCTTCTTCGTCAGTCACATTCCCCTTCATTTTTCTTTCTTTCTTTGTTCTTTTCTTCATCTCTTGTCAGGCCCCTCCCCCGTTACAAATCTAAATCTACAAAATCAAGAAAATCAAGCTTGAGATCTACAAACTCAAGATATTAGTCTTTTTGACACCATTTATTTGCCAAATAAAGAAGCGGGGAAAATCAAGTAGGATGCCTGAAAAGGAAAGTGAGAAGAAAGATATGGGACAGAGAGAGTAATTTATGCATGGCTGTAATTTATTTTTTCGTGCTAATGTTATACTAAACAATGAACAATCACTTTTCTTGACCTATTTCTTTATTGTGCAGGCTGGTCCAGATGACAACTTGAAAAACGTTGCTTTGAAAATTTTACAGAATGGTATAGCCACAGTTCCTATCATTCATTCACCAGCAGAGGACGGATCATATCCACAGCTACTGTATCTCACTTCCCTTGCTGAAGTACTAAAATGTGAGGTGTCTACTCTTTGCGTTCTTATCCACAAAAAAGTTTCTAAATTTCTGGTCTAACATCGTATGTGCCAATTTGTAGATATTTGCAGGTATTTCCGGCATTCGCCAACATCTCTTCCCATTCTTCAAATGCCAATCAATGCTATACCCTTAGGAACCTGGGTTCCCAAAATTGGAGAGCCAAATCCACGGCCTTTGGCAATGTTGAGACCTACTGATTCTCTTAGTGCCGCACTAGATTTATTAATTCAAGGTTTGTTGGTTTTCTTAAACAGAGTTTTGATGTTCTTGGTTTACAATAACATTGGGATTCCGAGTGGTTAATGCCTGCACAAGGTTGATTAAAAAACCAATAATGTTAATGCCGGTTATCTGATAAGGGCTTCGTTCATTGGCTTTTGCAGCTCAAGTTGGTTCAATTCCTATTGTCGACGAGAATGACTCATTATTGGATATATATTCCCGAAGGTTGGCATTAACTCTAGTAACTTTGTTTTACACCTTATTGAGTGTCTAAATCATATCAAATGTTAATATGCCAAGTCCATCTACAGTGATATCACCGCTCTGGCCAAGGACAAAATTTATACACATCTCAATCTTGATGAGATGACAATTCATCAGGTAAGTGTGCAGTATCAATACAAGAGAATTGTTTTATCATATACTCCCTCCGTCCCTTAAAAAACTTCACACTTTCTTTTTTATCAACTGTCATTTTTGTTTGTCAGTTTCTCTTGTGAAATAACAAAACTGCCCATTTTTCTTCCTACACCGTCAACATTAAAAGACGAGTATTGTGTCAATCTCTTCTCACAGGCATCAAAAAGGAAAAACTTTCTCAAATGCTCCCGTCTCACAAAAGTTTGCCCACTTTCCATTTTCATCCGTCTCAAAGTAATTCTCACTTTCTTCCTCTTTTTAGAAAAAAAAAATATGTTGTCCAAAATACTTCTCTTCTAAACAAATTCTGACCACTCATTTATCACTATTCATTTTTTCAACACAAGTCAAAGTGAGCGAATCAATTTGGGACAGAGGGAGTGTAAGATACGCCGCAATAAATAGAGTAATAAATTTCTTTTGTTGCTGAATCTCGTCCCTATTGCCTCATTCAATCCGTGTTTTAATGCCAAGCATTATATATTACGTACAATGCATTGTATTTTTCAGGCATTGCAGCTTGGTGAGGAACCATATGCTTCCTCTTCATACACAGTTGGTAATGAAAGATGTCACATGTGCTTACGGTCCGATCCGCTCCACAAAGTGATGGACAAATTGTCAAAACCAGGTTTACTGTCTTACTCTCTTCAACACTCTCCCATATAACTGGACAGAGGGTCATTGATGTAGTAGTAACAATAAAACACGTTTTCCCGTATTAGGTGTGAGACGGCTTGTGATTGTGGAGGCTGGAAGCAAGCGTGTTGAAGGCATCATATCTCTTACGGATGTATTTCGGTTCCTGCTTGGATAGGCGAACTACAAATGTTGACTTTGACCACTGCAACAACGCGCGAGCCCCTTGGCGGTCGATCTAATCCCTCAATTCTTTCATGTATACACAGCTGTGCGATTGGCCTCAGTAGTGCTTGCCTGCTGCTTCTTTTTTATTGTGTTAGGCTTCGAAATGAGGTGCCATGTAAATTGACATATTTGTTTTATTTATTTTTATATTTATTATTTCTAGGTGTCCTTGTTTCTAGTCTTGTAGCATTCACTGTAAACTTGAGTCGCTTTTCTCTATGCAGCTAAGACGCGGCTGGCCATTTTTCCTCGAAACAGTAGGGACTTTGTAAATTTATTGATCTAAGCGACGACGAGGCAATGTATTTAATATCGCGTTTCCATGTTGTGCCTTTGATCTGGCGTTTCTCCTTTGGCGTTCTCATAGATCAATGGTTTTGGATATTTTGATAAACATACATAAGCACAATTCAATGCAACTCTAAAGACATAATCCCAATTCAATTTGGCTCTGCCTGAGCTAATTCAAAGTTCAAACCCTTTTGGGATCACAATTTACCCTTTTAGGGCTTGTTTGGTTACAGGAGAGGGGAGGAAATGGTAAGGGATGGAGTGGTTTCCCTTCACCTAGTTTTGGCTTCCTTAAGGCCTTGAAAGTCATCCACCATACTCTCTCTCTCTCTCTCTCTCTCTCTCTCTCTCTCTCCCCAGAATGAATTGTCTCATTTTATTACTCCGTATTTGAGGCCAAATATTGCTGAGACATTTAACTCTTAAACCCATTGTAAACTTGGCCGAATATAGGCTCAAGTATTACATCATTATTTTATTACTTGCCCCAAGTGAATTGTCTTGTTTTACTTTTCGAGATTTAATGTTAAGATTTACTCTGTACTTATTTCAAAGTGAACTTTTTATCAGTATGATTTGATTTGAAAATCATTTTTTTAAGGAATTTGAAAAGTAATTAAATGGCGTCAAGTAATAGTTTGATTGTGAGGAACTTGTAATTTATGACATATACTCTGGTGCTGTCGGTACATTTTTTTAAAAACAAGAGTAATATGTAATTAGGGTCTCTTTGGTAAAAGGAGATGATATGAATTTCGGAAAATATTACGGACTACAAAAAGATGATACTCCGTATAATTTGATGCTCGCTTCGTTCTAAAAAAATTACCTTTTCTTCAGTGGGATGTTCAAAACAAGTTCAGGCTTCTATTTTATCTTTTTAACAAAATGAGTATGTAATCCATAATTATTTTCTTTTACAAATAAATTTTAAAAACAACATATAAATCGTGTCGCTCATTGTAAAAATATAAATGAACCAAAATATGCCTAAAAGTGTCACAAATGCGACACACTATGTACATAAATCATTTTCCTCATGGAAAAATAAAAAAAGACTTGAAAAAATTGAGTGATCATTATCATTTTTAAACTCTCTAGCCCATCTTTTGGCTACAATGGCCTATTTCCAACCCCAAACTATGTACTGGGACTCTGTTCCTCCTTTTTTTCCGTCTTTGATTAATCATATGTGAGTTTTTTCCTTCAAAAAAAACCTTGTAAAGTCAAACTATGAATTTTTTAAATGCAAAGAGTACTATTGTTGGAGTAGAACTAGTGATGTTGGTCTTGGTCTAAGAATTCGACATTTTACTTTGCTAGGATATTTAGATGTTAATATGTTTTTTTATGGATTTGAATAAAACTGAAAGGTAGTGTTTTGAAAATATCTACCCAAGTGTTAGACCTTTGTTAATAGTTTGTGATCTATTCTTTTCTAAGTAAATTTAGCTCTCAAATTTTTATCATAATGTCAACTAAAATTGGAATGTTGAATTAGAGAGGGCATGAAGTGGCATGGGTCGGGGGTTAAGATTGAGTTAGAAATCACTTTTAATTGGACTTATTTGATTATTTCATGTCATTGGAATGTTAAAAATATCAAACTCTTTTTGTATATAGATCATTTTTTAAAATATTATATTTTCTACCCTGTATCTTTTTATACTTGTTGGGATTCCTCCAAGTCCTACACTAAAAGTTTAGGAGTAAATGAACCAAAATATATATGTTCACCCAATCTCATTAGTACGAGGCCTTTTGGGAGGTGCCCAAAAACAAATCCGTGAGGGCTGGACCCAGAGCAAACAATATCATACTAATGCGGGGTTGGGGTGAGGGCACGCGCGGTCTCAACAATACTCCTACTTGAATTGTAACTTAATTTATTTATTCAATTCCGAAAATACTAAAAAAATATTGAATTATGAAAGACAAGTAGTTTGAATATCTTTAAAATATTTTTTTAACACATTTTTAAAAAAATAGAAAGAAAGAAAAAAAAAGTAGGAAAAGGTTTCGAAAAATTGAGAAATGGTTTGTGAGAGTGAGGAGTATATATAATGGATTCAAATGGAACAATTTACCAAACAAAATACTGCTGCTATACAAATAAATTGAATTTCGCGGTTACTATCCCCAAGATTTCATCTTCTTCTCCGCTTCCTCCTTCCCCACAATTTCCAGTAGTCATCGCAGCCCTGTTTTCTCCAACCGTATCAGAGCTCCGAGCCTCTGATTCTCTGCTCGATTTTCGAATCATTTCGGAGCATCTGAATCCGATTGAGAAGAAATCCACTCCCAGTGGAATTTTGATCCGGTAAATCAATGATAGCTCATTCTCTCTCTTCTAGCTCAGGATTTTAGCATCTCTTGTATTTTGGGAATTTTAATTCAACTAAACACACGAAATCCTTTTTAAAACCCCAATTAAAATCTTGTTTTGAGGTTTTGTTTTTAGCGATCATTCCCAGATCGGGGTTTTGGTTTCGGTCAAAATTATCGTGTTCTTTTTTAATGGCTTTCTGGTTTTTGATTGATTAGACCTTTTCAGGTGTCAGAGCACGAAACTATGCCTAGATTGGTTGTATTTTTAGATGGTCTTATTTTTATACTGTGATTATCGAGCTAGTGGGTTGGTGTCATATTTCAGTCATATGAATATTTAATGGTTGCCCAAGTTTGTTTTATTACACCCTTTTCTGTGGAGTTGGAGGATTTGGGGCCTTCTAGCTCAACGAGGTCCACATTTTATATCATTCGATTGAACAATGGGTAGTGTAGATTGAATTGTAGGGTTAACATTTGAATAATAGTGGTGCAAACTCGCCGGATGCTAATAGCTTCTCATATGAAAGCTAGATTCAACATTTGCAAAATGTTAAAGTTCAGGAGGTTCCCCCCTCCCATTTTTTATTTTTGGGTGACAGATATTCACGTCTATTGAGTAACAACATACATCATTTGTGTGAAATCAGCTATTTATGTGTGTTACAGTAATGCACACATCTGCATTACTGCAAGTGAGAATTTTTTGGCGTGTTCATCTGAAGGTGGTTCCACTACTGGAAATTATGTTCTAATATGGCAACAGTTTATAACGAGGTCATTCGATCAAGACAGCATGCCAATCTTGTTCAATGCATTTACTTGTGTGTGTGCGTGCGTGTGTGTGTGCATTTGTTAGTTTAAATCCATCTTTGAACTCCTCGTCTGCATCGTCATTATCAGCATCTTTATCTTAACTAGTTGGGGGTGACATTAAATTTATAGAGACAATTAATTGTATAAACTAATTATCTCTATAAATGCATGCAAAAAGTATCACTGGCAATCTCATAACTCATATATCTTGTAATTAACCTTTTGTTTCCTGTATGCTTTCAGGATTTCAAATGTCTCCTGCAAGAAAATCTAGGAGTGTAAACAAACGATATTCTTATGTAAATGAAGTGTCCCCTAACAAAGATGGAGGTGGCTCTAAAAGAAGCAGTCAGCGGGTGAATTCTGCTTCTACTTTCTTTTTCCATATGCAGATGACCTTTTTTCTTCTATTAGCACTCATCAGCTTATATATATACTACGTATATACTATATATTAATATTTTTCGAGTATATAATTTAAAATCACAGTTATTCTATGATTGCATTCAATTTTTTTCCTTTTTTAGAACAGAGAGGTGCACACTGAAATGGGGGTTCATCACTATGGTCTTATTGTACTTGGATGATAAAATATAGACCTAGATTTCAAATGTTTTTGCAATCTTTGCTGAAATTTGAGTGAATATGTCTGTAAAATTGGTGCCCCCCATCTAACTTATGTTTTGAGAGGATTTGCGCGCCCACAAACATGTCGATATGTGCGCTGTTATATACTCCGTAAATATTACCAATACATAATTAACTTCAATGTTTTTTATTGGTACTCATTTCTGATTCAATTGCAGAAAAGGAAGATGTCTATGCTAGGCCCTCAGTGGAGTAAAGAGGAGCTTAATCGTTTCTATTATGCATACCGGAAACACGGTAAAGATTGGAAAAAGGTTAGGGTTCTCAATATGAGTCTTGGTTGTAAATTTTGTTTTACTTGTATATCTTCACAACTCCCTTCGTCCCATTATCTTTGGGACACAAGGACACACATATTAAGAAAAAGTGGAATTGTGTGGCTGACTGACTGCTGCTGAATATATAAAGTGTATAAAGTAGGAATGATTTTGAACCACACGAATATGGCACATGTGGAACAAGACAAACATAGTGGGACAAACAAAAATGGTATTTTAAAAAATAGACATACGGTGGGATGGAGGAGGTACAATATATAATGGACCAAAATAATGTTCAGTTTTTGCAGGTGTAAAAATTAATTTTAACACTTGAACTACGCACGAGCTTAGTTATTAATCACCGTTGTCTCTCTCGATCACACACACAAAATAAAAGTCATGTTCAATAGTTTAAAATTTAAATTATGACTGTTTCAATGGATTGTTATTTTTTGTGCATTGTAGGTGGCTGCTGCTGTGAGAAATCGATCAGTTGATATGGTGGAGGCCCTTTACTCTATGAATATGGTAAATGTGATCTTTCAATGTGATAAATAATGGTTTTTATTTATTCATATGGTCTTTTAATACTTTTTAGCAGATATAATGATTATTGAATGTAATCCGACCCTTCTCCCTAAAAAAATGTACTAACTTCAAGCATGTGGCCATATGGGTCTGTTCTGTTATGATTGTATTATTGTGATTTACATTGCCACTATCACGCATGAGCTACTACAATGATGAGAAGGGAACACCTTCAGAAGATTAACATAATGTTAGCTGAACCCCATATGACATATCATGGGGACACCCTCTGCCTTAGTGCAATATAAAACCACAAACATCATAGGATGAAGAAATCTCTTTATTTTAGTGGAAAAATTACCAGGGCTTATTGAGGTCTGCCATGACATTTCTGGATTTTAGTAGAAAATCAAATAATTAATAAAAATAAATTAGATACTCTTTCTCTAATGCTTATAATGATCTGAAATTTTGTACAGAGTATTTGATAAATCATCATAAACTAATGTATGGTTATATTTTAGCTTGAAAGACCACAATGATATTCCATTTTTAAGTTTTATCAGCCAATATGCTGTTGTACTTTAGGCTGTAGCTGCAGTCTTTAATTACTTATGAAATATTAAAGAAAGAGTAGGGATATATATTACTCTTTTCATTACACACTTTTTCAGGCTTACTTATCTCTTCCAGAGGGGACTGCTTCTGTTGTTGGGTTGATTGCAATGATGACCGATCACTACTGCAACATGGTGAGATACTAGTTCATGACATACTGAATTTCCAAGTATTTTGGTACTAAATGTCATAGAATCTGATGAGACCTGTTTTTGTGTACCCCCAACACGCCTGTTCCATTTTATCTACAAAATTTTTATTTATCTACTATTAAGTACTCCCTCTGTCCCAATATCTTTTGCCAGTTTTCATTTTTTTTTGTCTGTCCCAATTTGTTGTTCCTCTTTCTCCCTCAATTGCAGCATAAGTCTCAACCACAATTTTAACTATTTTAACCTTTGTGTTGCTCATAGTGCTTGATGTGAACTATCTTTCTGCAGCTTTGAGTTGACTTAATTCACTAAAAGTCTAGAAATATAATTTCCACATGTAATTCACCTCTTTATGAATGAGAAAGAGGTAGCATTTTTTTGGTTGGCTTTCTGGTTAGAGCATTTAGGTTTTTAAGAATTAAGAAGCATAATTAGTTTTCACTTGTGCAATTGAGTTATTGGAGTGTAAATGACAGGCTGCAAGTGATAGTGAACAAGAAAGCAATGATGGCGCAGGAACATCTCAAAAGCCTCAAAAGCGTGCCCGAGGTAAAGTTCATGCGGGCACATCCAAAGGGTCTGATTTTCAGTCCCCTACTCCAGCATCAAATTCTGGTTGCTTGTCTTTATTGAAGAAGAAACGCTCAGGAGGTGCGTGCCTCCTTTCCTTTGGGAACTTCAAAAAAAGTTCAGTTATCATTTAATGGCCGCTTTGTGGTGCAATTTTTTTTTAAATTATGTTTTGCACATGCATGCAATTCTGATGGATTCATGGATTGCACCTTGACTATTTTTGTATTTGCCATCTTTAATTAATGGAACCATACTGGGCTGTTATTCTTGATTTCTTGATGATGTTTTTGGGAAATCTTCTTTTAGGGACACGTCCTCGTGCTGTTGGAAAAAGGACACCACGGTTTCCTGTACCATATTCTTATGAAAATGGCCCCAAAAGGACAATAGATGCAAATGACGATGAAGTTGCTCATGAGATAGCTATAGCTTTAGCCGAAGCTTCAAGAAGAGGCAGTTCTCCCCAGATTTCTCGGACACCCACCCGTCAATCTGATAGTGCGTTATCCACTCCCACTCAAAAAGCGGAAAGGAAGGTAACATTTCAATTTCCACCTAAAGTTCTTTAGCTTTTTCCTGTCATGTAGTCTCAAGAGTTACTTCATTTGACTTTTAAACAGCATAGCAATCTGGAAACGGTCATTTCTACTCTTCGTACATGTGAAATGGATGATGATGAAGGAAGCATGGAAGCTGACACAGGAGAACTACACAGGCACATGACTTCTTTGAGGGAAACTAGCAGAACAATTCCAAAGGGGAGAAAGCTCTCTGGGAAAAAGTTAGAAAATGATGTCAATGGTGACAGTAACTTTGATGACATCAAGGAAGCATGCAGTGGTATTGCAGTTTCCTCGAATGCTTTTGTTCAAAAGAAGTTTTTGTCTTTTTGTGCAATCACAAAATTTCTTACCTGTTACATTTTATTTAAATACTTCTTGCCAATGTTAATTGTTATGTGTTATCTTTCTATATAGATGAAAGCTCTGCCTTCGATGCTCTACAAACTTTGGCTGATCTATCACTGATGATGCCAGCAACAGAAAATGATAATGGTAAGGAGTTAAGGATAAACACTACTTCCCTTTTCAGTTCATTGTTCTGTGTGCACACTTACGATTTATAACTTGAGAACCTTGTCTTGCTCTCTGTTATTGCAATCTTTAGCTCTAACAATTTTTCTTCAGACTTCAAGGATATTGATACCTGCATTTATTAAAAAAATGATTTTATAAGTTTTTTTTGGTTAAGTTTCATACGTTTCTTGGGTTAAGTTGATTTGACTTAGTTGCATGACACATTCAAAATGTATTTGCTTCTCAAGTGGCTATCAACAACAAGCCAGTAAGGACCCACAGGTGGGGTCTGAGGAGGGTGAATGTATGCAGACCTTATCCACCTATAAAGGTAGAGAGATTATTTCCGAGGGCGTGTGATATTAAAAATTTATTTTCTTCTCAAGTATAGTGTATGGTAATAATGTATTGCAATTTTTGTTCAAAATGGTTCACCGCATTATGATTGAATAAGTTGTAGGCTCAAGCCCTGTAAGAAATCTTTCTGTAAAGAGTTGTGTTTTGCAATTTCTACTGCTAGAATAAACCAGCTCTAATCATAGTATGGATTGCCCATCAGTGTCATCAACAGGATGATAGGTGATGTTCACTGAAAACCTTATTTTTTTTAGAACATCACATTTTGGATCTTGTACTGGTGTAGCTCCTGTGTGGAATATCAATTCTCCCTGAAGTTTTTAAGCCTCATTCTTCTTGTTTAAGCCTTCCTCATCACGGGTTATCCAGAAACAGCTGATCTATGTTTAAAGTTTAAACATCGATTACCTATGATGCGTGAGCCGGGGGTCTCTTTGGAAACAGCCTCTCTACTTTCAAGTAGGGGTAAGGTCTGCGTACACACACCCTCCCCAGACCCTACTTTTGTAGGATTCAACTGGGATGTCGTTGTTGTTGTTCTTCATGTTTAGATGGGAAAAATATAAAGCGCGGCTTTGATTTTTAGTCTAAGATTTAATCTGCAAAACACAATTCTCAATAGTATGCTTAACTTTGCTTTGTACTTGGTTTTTTTGAAATCATATTTCCATATATCTTTAACTTTTTGGTGTGCCTACAACCGTAATCCTAGTCCCACTCTACTTCTTCTGTTTGTTTCCCTCAGAGTTAATTATGCACACCAAAGATGAAAATTCTTACATTGAGGAATCTGGGACTGTGGAAGTTCTGCCTACAAACTGCCAAAAGAAGAAGCGCAGAACGCCTGGAGTTAAAGCTAAATGGAAGCGGCCCATTTCAGGACTTGAGGTTGCATCTAGCACAATGTCAAAGCGTGTTAAAGCTTCAGCTGATGCTAGTGTTGTCCCTGAAACAAAGCAGACGAGAAAAACAGAAAGCATATCAACATCTAAGGTAAAGCTGATACCTTCAGCTTAATCAATACTTTCTATTTCAGAACAAGTAACAAATTTTAGGCATTCCATTCAGGGACGGAAAGATGATGTCCATCTCAGTAATGATCTCTCTGAACCTCAAGAGCCCCACGTAAGTCTGCTTTTCTTTTGTTGACTTTAGATATACCCTGATTTTGTGTGGTTGTGGTTTGTGTAGAGGAAAGAGAAATGATAATGATCACTCAATTTTTTCTTTAAAAGGAAAAAGGAAGATAATTTTGGGACAACCCAAATAGGAAGGTAGGAAGATAATTATAGGACAGATGGAGTATTAATGTTAAAGGTGATCATAGTGAGTCTGAGATATCATATTAAGTTTTTTTTTTTTGTTTTGTTTTGTGAAAGACATGTAGCATACTAGCATGTGAAAGGATTTAGCTCTCATTACAACAACAGCAGCAGCAGCGAAAACATTACTCCAGTGCCTCAGAGGTTCCCGCCTATTGCGGGGTTAGGGTGGTCGGTTGTACTCAATCTGGCCTCTATGTTTAAAACATAGAGTAACTATTTTTGGATGACTCATGATGAGTGTTGAGAGTTGCATTGACTAAGTGCTACTTCACTATAAAAGAAGCTCAAATAGTTTAAAGAGTCATTTTGCTTTATTCCATCATATCCCAAAGCCAAAAAAAGAAGTGAATCTTTGGCTCCATTGGTGATGATGGAATGGGATTTAGTTCTTATTAAGCTTCAGTTTTTCTTTAAAGATGTATGATTTCTAAGTTTCAATATGGACCAGTTTTGATTTAAACATCTTACTGAGATGATGGCAGCTCATATGCGAGGTATGTAAGTTATTTATTTGGAAATGCGCAGAAATTAAAAAATCCAAAAGAGGAATTTAGGCTTCAATTGGGAACTTAAAGAACTAGGTTTAGTTGTATTTTATTAATTTCTTTTAATTCATTAAAGATTATTGATATTTGATACCAAACTAGATTTCATTGATTTTATGTTTGGCTAAAATTGGTAGCTGAATAAGATTGTATATAGATGTTGCTTCTATATTATATTTGAATGGTCATTTCTTGTATTTGAGATTGATGCAACAGATTCCGATGTCTATTCCTATTAGATTGGCTATTTCTCCTGTTCCAAACACCAATTTGACATAATGCTGTTTTTTTTTGTAGACAAACGGTTCACCGAAGGAGCCAATCAGAAAGGGTAAAAGATCTTTGCAGAGTTTATCACCTAAATTGATTATGAACCAAGATCATTCCTCAAGTCCAGATATAAGAATAGAGGGAAGTGATCCAGCTCAAATGACTGCAGAAGTTCCTTTAGCAAACCAGGTCACTTTGCCTGATAAAATTACAAGTAGGCACAAGACAGGGATCAAGAAATCACTAAGAGAAAAAAATCCATCTTTTCCTTATAGCATGTTGGATAACAACTGCAGCCAGCCCTCTGTTACAGTCAATGACAAAGTGGTCAACATTAAGGTTTGCTAAAACTTACTTTTACTTTCCTAGTTGTTCCCTCTTAACTTTGACATATGGTTTGTGTGTGCATTATGTAACCTTGTGTGCTTTGTTTGCAACATGGCTTGCAGAAAAAGCTTTCTAGTTGCCTTTATAACCATCTTTTACGGCGATGGTGTATAAGTGAGTGGTTCTACAGCGCAATTGATTATCCTTGGTTTGCTAAAAGGGAGTTTGTTGAGTACTTGGATCATGTTGGATTGGGACATGTTCCCAGGCTAACTCGTGTTGAATGGGATGTGATAAGAAGGTATTTGAAATTTACTGCAGAAAAGTGAAATACAAATTATTCTGAACTGTGGATTAGTATTTTAAGCTTTAGGTCTTGTTGCAGTTCTCTCGGTAAACCACGGCGATTTTCTGAACAATTTTTGAAGGAGGAAAAGGAGAAGCTTTACCAATACCGTGAGTTTGTTAGAACACATTACACCGATCTACGTGAGGGTATTAGAGAAGGGTTGCCGACTGATCTTGCAAGGCCATTGTCTGTTGGACAACGTGTCATTGCCATCCACCCTAAAACAAGAGAAATATATGATGGAAGTGTGCTCACAGTTGATCATTCTAGGTGCCGGGTTCAGTTTGACCGGCCTGAGCTTGGAGTTGAAATTGTCAAGGTCATAGATCTACCAATGATAAGTTGATAACATTAGAATCTTGTTGTAACTTGTCTTCTATGTTAGACTGTGTGGGTGTGTGGGCGTGCAGAAGTATGTACGCGTGTATGCATATGTGTTGATACACACAAATTTCTTTATATGATCTTTTTAACATATTGAAACTTATTACTCCATCAACCCCAAAATAAATTCCACAGTTTCCTTTAAAATCCGTCCAAAAACAAACACACATTTCCTTTGAAGGAAAGGAATAAGTGGTTTACATTATTTCTCACTTCCAAATATATTTCGACCACAATGTTCACTTTTCCTAACGTTCTTAAACTCGGTGCCCAGTCAAACTGGACACTAATATTGGGATGGGGGAGTTTCTTTTTCCAAATAAACAAGCTAGCTTTAAATGTAGGTTGTATTCATCAGTCTAGTTTTATGTGAGAAAGAATGAAGTGATTATTATACCATTTCAAATACATCATATTTTTAAACTTTCACCCTAATATGAAAATATAATGGTGGAGGACTGGAAGTTCCATTTTTTGCAGTCTACACTGGGCGGGATTTAGTGTTTTCTTATAACAGTGGTGACATTGTATTCATACATTTTAATGCACTAATATTCAGTGTATCTATTTCTATATAATGAATCTCTATCATTATATGTGCACTTCCTTTACATAAAATGTTGTTCTTTGACATGTTACACATATCCTGCACACTATTTCATTCTATCTGGATTGGAAAGATATTAGCACAACCTCAATGGATATTCATCACTATAATGTTAGTTACTATAGTATTTTCAACATTCTAGTGTTCATTTTATAATGTAAATATGATTTCACTTTCAAGTAAAATCATGTGATTTTTAAAGTAATTATCATCTCACGTCAAGCAATACCAACTGATTCTTGCTTTAGCTACATGAGCTTTGTTTTTGGGGGTTGGGGTGAAATTATGCTAATTCACTGAACGTCCTAACATAGATTCCATTGCAATTTGAAATTATTTTCACTACCTGTGTTGTAAGAGTTATAGTTTTTATACGTATTTCATTTCTTCATGCTTTGACAGGATATTGAATGCATGCCTCTAAATCCCTATGAGAACATGCCTACACAGCTCAGCAGGGACAGACAAGCTATGGACAAGATACGAGATAACTCTTTAGAGCACAAGGTTAATGACATTTTGAATATGAAGAATGACAATGGTTTCCCTTGTTTGCCTTCATCAACCTGTGCGAAAAAAGATCTATTGCTGCAATCAGAGGTCAGTAGCATTTCATTTTCTTTAATGGTATGTTTAGGAACTTGAATTTGGATTTCAAATCCGAATTCGATTCAAATTATTTGTTTTGGAATTCAAAGAATTAAGATTTCGATTTGGACCAAATTCTTCTAATTCAAAACAATCTCAATTACAAATCCACACCTCCCCGTGTCATTTACAATTCCAAGCTTAAGCTTTAGTTTACAACTTACAATAAAAAAAGTCATCTTCCCTTTATGTAACAACAATTCCATACATATCGACCCATTTTTGTCTCTATCTTTACCGACTTCAAAAATCAAATTCTAGAATTGAAATTCTATGGTTTTCCAAACAACATTTGAATTTGGAATCATGGGATTTCAAATATTGGAATTGAAATCTAAGACTTCAAATGAATTCTAGTTTGGTAGTTCCCAAACATTACCTAATTGATTTTTTTTAAAAAAAGAGACATTCATTGTTTTATTCATTTGGCTTAAGAGCCAATTTGGATGGAGGGGTTTGGATGGCTAAGTCTATATTTTGACATTCCCTCCATTCCAAATTAAAGTTCACATTTTGACTTTGCCGAGTGTAAGAAAAGTGTTAAAAAGTAAAAGCATTTGCGGTTGAAACTTGTTTAGAAGAGACATAAATGTTGTGAGCCACATATTCTTTAATTAGGAAACCAGGAAGTATGTATTTTGGTACATCCCAAAAAGGTCAGTGCAAATTTATTTTGGGACGAAGGGAGTATGTATTTGAGATCTTATAAAATTGAACATAATAACATAATAAAGGATCAAATGGCATTTCACATTTCAATCACCCTTCATTTTAGAAGTATTTTATTGATCAAGTTACTAAGCCCTCCAAGGACTTCCATCTAAAACCTTAAAACCATGCTGGCCCTATGACAATAAATATTTGGCTTCCCTCCTGTCATCAAGAACAACTAGATCGGTTAAACCTTGTATACTAGGTGAATGGAGCAGACAGTGATGTGCATACTAAAATTAGGTCAGGTGACACTTTTCAGCAGGCAGCAAATTCTCGATGCAGTACAGTGGAGCAGAACCGAGCTAAAGAAGCTGATGTTCAAGCTTTAGCTAAGCTGACTCGTGCTCTTGACAAAAAGGTTTTTCAAAACTTTTTAAAAAATGTTGCCCATCTGCTGCATAAAAGGGGGTCACATTCATGAGATTTATTACTTATATTTTTAGGTATTTATTTTAAATGAGCTCATGATGAGCTTTGCTTGAACATTCAGGATGCTGTGATTTATGAGCTGAGGCAGATGAATGACGATGTTTTGGAAAATCAAAGGAGTGGTGACTGCACCCTCAATGATTCAGACCCATTCAGAAAGCAATATGCTTCCATAATCATTCAGTTAAATGAAGTGAATGAGCAGGCATGTTACTATAACCTATTGTCATAAGCATCCCTGCATAGGTGTAGGTGGTAGGGCCTTGACTTATGCAATGCTTGCCACTTTTATGCTTGAATAGTTGGATTGTACATGTAGAGAAGAAAGAAGCATAGTGGAAATAAGTGGGAGAGGAGAAAATGAGTGGATTATTTTGGTCGTTTGGATGGAAATTTGGGTAGAGATATAAGAGATATAAAAGCTGCTGTTCTCTTCATCTGTTTCGTTAGATAGAAAAGTGAATAGAAAGAAAAATATATTTTCCTAAAAAGACATATTTGTACTTTATGCAGGTAGGTAAAAAGGTTATGCCGTACATTTGCTAATGGTCCCATAATTTTGCCCCATCTCTCCTACAAATCTCTTCTTTCAAAGAGAAGTTTTTTGTCTGGGTCCAATCTTGGAATTTCTTTCTTCTTCAAATTTTCTCCCTTTCTAAACAATTTAAACTTCTTTACGTCTATCTTTCCCCTAATTTCTTCTGAATGCCACCGTAACAAACAGTCAACAAATAACAACATTGATTGATGCTACTTTCACTTCATTTCAGTCAAGTACATGGTTGGGATTTCTTTCCACTGTGCAATCCAACCAAGTCTTTGAATGGTTTTGACAGGTTTCTTCTAGTTTGTGTTGCTTGAGACAGAGGAACACGCACCAGGGGAATGTGTCTCTTAGTTTGCAGTCAAGGCCAGTCGCTAATGTTGGTGATGCTGGGGGTGATTTATTGAGCACATTTGGCTACTGTACATCTCAAATCCAGGAACCTCGGTTTCACATCAATGAGATCATTGAGAGTTCAAAAATAAAAGCCAGAACTATGGTAGATGCTGCTGTGCAGGTAAACATAAAAATTTGTGATTGTGGAATATGCCGTTTTCATTATTGTTTTCTCAATATACTCATGAAGGATTTTCTTAATCAATAGGCCATGTCATTACTTAACGGAATGGAGAACGGAACAGGGGATGTTGAAGCTGCTATAGATTATCTCAACGACCGGATACCGACAGATGAATCATGCTTGCTTACAGTAAGATACATCACTCTTTTGGTTTACGTAAGGTCTGTTTGGAATTTGGATGAAGGGGTTCAGATGAGTATGGAAGGCTTAATGTATATCTTACTAAATATGTAGTGGAATTTTTTTTAATTGAATAAAAGGCTATTGAAATGTTCCCCAATCACATATAATGTTAATCTTTCAATTTGTACAAAATGTCAAATATATATCAAGATATACAGTCATCCAAAACTTTCCCCACCAAAAGCTCTTTATTCAAACAGACCCTCCCCTCCACATTGGACGCTTGTGCTCCTAGTGCTTATAATAAATGCTAACATGCGGCAAATTTGTTGTAGATACAAGATTCTAAATTACTGAATAATGGGAATGAGGCAGACATTCCTTCAGAACTTATCACCCAATGTGTTGCTACTCTCCTTATGATTCAGGTAAAACACACTATCTGGTCTGTAGTTATTATTTCAAGCGATGGATTTTTGCATCTGAAGGTTCTGTAACTTTGGGTTCTGTTATCAACTAAATAAGCAAACTAATTAGAATAAGTAGCTAGCTTTGACACTTATTTGGTTGAATGAGTGTTACCAAATGCTATTCCTTCCACGAGATTCACCCATTCAAACTAAATAAGTAACAAGCCTTGGATCTAACTTGGACTTAGAATGGGAGCTTCGTGGACTGTGGTATGACTTTCTTTTATAATGTTTTTCTTAACCATTCTTCAGAAGTGCACGGAACGACAGTTTCCTCCTGCAGACGTGGCAAAAATACTGGATTCTGCTGTTGTTAGCTTGCAACCCACCTCTTCTCACAACCTTCCACTCTATGCTGAAATAGAAAAGTGCATGGGAATAGTAAGAACCCAAATACTGGCTCTAATACCAACCTAGGTCCATCTCCTCTTAGTGTGAAGTGAAGTTGACTCAATTAGTTGATTGTGTTGAAAGTTTAAATGATATAGGTGCCTATACAAGTGTCATTCATCTGTGTTGCATATATGTTTTACTTAGTTTAAAAGTAGTTTTTGTTCTATGTTCTTATTAGGAGGTTCACCCAGTGCAGTCAAAATCCAGGGTTACCAAACTAAATTCTTTTCTTCTAATTGTTTAGTTCCTATTTTTTATACATATATACATAGTGATAATCCTGTAAATGTGTATTTGGTAGATATTAAATACACTGCTGCTTCATTTTTTTTGCTGTTTTGAGATTAGTTTCTATTCAATTTTGATGAAAAAGTTGTGTCATCCGTCCCAGATTAATTTACTCACTTGGATTTTACTTAAAATGATATTGTCACTTGAATATACATCATTCATATCAGAGTGTGAATAGTGAATTTTGAATTAAAATTTTTACACATTGTGCTCTGAAAAAATCAAATGGGGAAAAAAAATCTGGACCAAGAGTAGTATGTTACGGAGTAAATGGTTTAGGGTACAATTTGGGTGTATAATAGCAACAGCACAAGTTTTGAGAGCAGCATCCAAACCAAGCTTATCCAAATTAAAAAGCAAAAATTACTCTGGGGTATTTTTGATTTTCTGCTAATAATTTTCAGGTTTCAAATTATCTGAAATATATCATGTGTTACTCTCGGTTTTTTGTTAAGAACTCTCGGGTCTTACATTATTCAAAATATACCTTGGAGTCTTTAAAGTTTGTGATATTATACTTCGATGGTATATTTTATCCATTTAAGCGTTAAGATTGAAAGTTCTTTTATTTGACAAATAAAAGAATTTTATTTAAATTTAATAAAATGATAATTATCAAGGCAAAATTTAGTTTTTGTTGAAGTACTGAAACTGTAAATCATATCGGCCAAATAGATAGAATGTACCTTCGAAGTACATTACCACTAATTTTAAAGACCCCTTAAGTATATTTCGGATAATAAGGTACCCAAAAGTTCTTGCTAAAAAATTAATATTTCTTCGAAATATATTTCAGATAATGTACGACGTACGTAAATGTTAATTCCAGAAAATCACGGATACTTATGAATAATTTTCTGAATTAAAAAGGGTCCGAACTCCGAAGTCCCTAAATCCCATGAGCCTTGACTTTAGCAACACTACAATCATTTTCAGTACGACCCAAATAATGATGGATACTCCCTCCGTCCGGGAATGATGTTCCCATTTAGACTTTTCCTCAAGATTGACTTAATGATTGAAGAGACTAAAATGCCCTTTCAATGCCCCAATCCAAAATGCAGACCTACAATTACCACTGCACCAAACAGAACTGATACCCACCGCCAGCCCCGCTGTCTGTCGCCACCACCACGGCTCAGCTCCGTCACCGCCAGTTCTTCCACACCGACAGCCGCCAGCATCTCCTCCAATCGCCACTACCATCAGGTCGAGAACGCTCATAAATCTAATTGGGCACAGATCTAATTGGAAAACAGAGAAAATCAAAAGAAGAAAAAGAACAAGGGGGAGGGGCAACGATAGAGAGAGAGAGAGAGAGAGAGCAAGAATAGAAGATGGAGTAGATGATGGCCAGATCTGCCCAGAAAAAGAAGGGATGAGAAAAAATAGAGAAGAAGATTGGGGAGGGGGAAGAGAGACAAAGAGAGGAGAAATTTATTGATTTGGCGAAGAAGAAGAAGAAGAAGAAGAAGAGGAGGAGGAGAAGAAAGCTGGAAAAGAGGGAGGAGGGGAGAGAGAGTGAAAAAAGATGGATAAAAATGGAGGGGAGAGAGAATGGAGTATTTGGATGAGAGGTATTTTTGGAAGGATTGATATAAAAACGTAGAGTGGGAACATCATTTCCGGACGAAAAAAAAACGTACAATGGAAACATCATTTCCGGACGGAGGGAGTATGAAACTTTGATATCAAGTTTTGTATTTTGTAGCACGATCCTTAAAAATATAATCTTACTTTGCAACTCTTTTCCTGAGACGAATGAGTTTAGAGCAACATGAAAATGAGATAAAATAAATAAATAGGGTCCGTTTGATTAACAAAACAATATTGATGTAATATGGATTTTGAAATATAAAATGAAAGTATTTAGAAAGTTATAAAATCTGATATTGTTATTAGTGACAAGAAGGGAGATGATGATGGTGGCCGGTTGGCGCCTGGCGGTGGTAATTGACAAGCCGTTGATGGAGATGTAAAAATCTCTAGATTGATACTCTCCAGTCCTAATTTAAATTGCCTGTTTTGGTCTACAGTGTTTAACTCAAATTATTCTTAATGTAATGTATTAGAAAATTGGAGCAAAATTAAAAAAAACTTTATATATTAAAAAACTTTATATATTAATTTAGGTCATGGAGACTAAAAAATTTCACAAAACAAGATGTGACTTTTTACCATATACAAGTGTATTTCTGTTCCGAAATATTTGTCATGCTTTAACTTTTGGCAATTAACATTGTATTATATTTTCACATTTGATCATGCACCAAATTTAACGTTATATTTAATACCGCAATACGTGAAGAATCGGCAATAACATTATTTTCGCATTGTGACATTTCTTTTTGCTATTTTTTAATTTGTTTTAATCTTATGACATCAGCATATATTCATATTGGATACGAAAAGATAATGGCCGTGTTTGGAAAACAGCATTTGGGATAGCTTTTGGCATCTTTGACTGACTTTGGCTTTTTTGACCAAGCGAACCGCCAAAACCATTGTTTGGCTAATGGCTTTTTCACTTGGCATTTTGATCCGAAAAGCCAAAATTTGAAATGCCAAGGTGAGTAGCATTTGGACTTGGCGGTTAGGAAAAATATTTTTTTTAAAATCATTTTTGTTGAAAGATATTTTATAATATATGTAAAAAATAAAAATAAAAGTTAAAAAAATTAAATACGAAAAAATAAAATGAAATTAAAAAAAATTATATTTATAATTCATTAAAAAATTTATATTTATAATTTATTATGAATTAAATGAAATTAAAATTTAATATTCCATATAGTAAAGATTTAATTTTTACATGTAAAAAAATGAAAAATAAATATCATGTCTATATATATATATATATAAATTTTTATTTAATTTTTTTAATTTAAAAAAAATATATTTATGATATGATATTAAAAAAAAATTGTAAAATAAAATATACCATAAATGGAGGGATGCCCTTTTATGTAATTTTATTTACAAACAGCTAACTATAAACAGCTAAAGTTGCCAAACACTTAAAATTTAACTGCTAACAGAAACAGCCGGTCAAAACAGCTAACTCAATCAGTCATTCAAATCAGCTAACATAAACAGCCAACAGCCAACTGTCAACTGTTAGTATCCAAACAAGGCCAATATCTCTCCATTGACCAGTGTCGCAATAGTAATACTGTTTAGTCAAATTTTATTTATTTTCTTTCTCTATTTTCGCTAGTTTTTTGATAAAATATTATAATCATGTCATTATTATTTTTATATTCTTTTGACCTAGTTTTTGATTATGTAATTTTAATTTTTAATTCTATACTATTTTTCATGTAAAATGATTTGAGAATAATTTCTGTCAAACATCGTAAATTGAAACAAACGATTTAAATTGAGAGGAAGGGACATAATACTAATAGGGCCTTCCTGCGTCCACTTCTTTTCTTATGCACAAAGATGCCTATCCCCAAAAGAATCTGTCACACTGTTGTACTAAAGGCTCGTTATCTTTGGATTGCGATTTGTAAACAAGTCATATATGGTCTGAAAATTCAGATTTGGTTCAAATTTCATATTTGGAAAATTAAAAAAACTTGGATTTTGATTTGAGTTAAATTCCGTTCATTCATAACAAAGCACAATTTGAAATCGATACATCTCGATCACATTCTTATTTGAAATTCAAAAAATCAAATTTTAGAATTGAAATGCATGAATTAAAATAAAATTCTAGTTTCCAAACACTACCTTAATTAATTTTAGAAAAGAGAATAATTCATCTTTACTTGATCATGATGCATTTTATTATTCCATTTGTCCCAATTTAATTGTTATTTACGAGGTTCGACTGAAGTTATTTTCATTTCATTTTATTTAAATATTGGTATAGAATTAAAAAAATTATATAATTAAAAACTATATCAAAATTCTACAAAACAAAAGTGACAAGATTATACTCCCTCCGTCCCAAAAAGTTTGTTACGTTTAGAAAAAACTGTGTCCCGTAAAGTCCGTTACATTTCTATTAAAAAACCACTTTTACCCCTTACTTTTTCATACCCTACATATCACATCATACCTTTTTCCTAATAATTTACCTATCACATCCTACTTTTACCCATCACATCAAGGGTATTTTTGGAAAGTCAATACTAAAATATCTCTCCCTTAATTTCTCAAAAAGTCAAACCGTCCCATTCTTTTTGGGACGGAGGGAGTATTATTTTCTCAAATGGATAACGAGAATGGGTAAATAACATGATTAATATTTGACATGTGAATAATAAATATACAACTTAACATTGATGAGAGAGTAATATACTACCCCCTCCGTCCCAAATTATTTGCGACATTTGCTTTTTCAACAGTCGCGAGAACTTTTGTTTATTTCTACGTTTTCATTGGTTATTTGATAAAATAAAATATTCTTGACACCTCTTATTTCGAAGAACTTTTTATGTAGTTTTTTGATATGTAATTTTTATTTTTTATTTCTTTATCAATATATTAATAAAATGAATTGAAAAAACTTGATATTTTTCCTCAGTTATAAAAATGTGACAAATAATTTAGAACGGGAGAGTACATTAGTAGAGAGTAATACAGAGTACATTTTAAGAATGAGAGAGAAGTTTGACTTATCTATTAATATGCCACCAATCCCACCATGTTTTTTCAAAGCATTTTCTTATTTTTATTTATTCGTGGCCTTTAGATAATAAATTCAATAGATTATATGCATTAATACTTTTATCATGATACACACATTCTCATTTGAACTTATATATATATATATATATATATATATATATATATATATATATATATATATATATATATATATATATATATATATATATATATATATAGTCTGATTTCGTTGAGAATGACTCTTAATATGAGAAATAAGAATAATTGATCTTTGCTTCATCATATATGGTGCATTTTGTGGATTGCT